TTTCCTTTTGTGTGTTTTCTAAAAATGGCTTCATTTTGCCTACAGTTTACCTGTTTGGATTGTCCATTGCCCCCCGAATGCATCCTCTGCATGTTTATAAGTTGTTGGTAAGGTCTGGAGCCTTGCTTCATTTAAGTTTCATTGCATGAGCCAGGATACTTCAATAAGAGATGATGCATTCTCCCACCAGAAGAGTCATATTCATAATACTTGCTTTTTTTGCTCTGATACTAGCAACCATTCGGTTATCAATGCAGAGACACAGTAACCGTGGCCTACCTATGTCCAGATGTATTAGCTGTGCATTTACCTTGTGGTGTTCCTGATAAATGTATAATTCTGTTCATGTTTCCTCTTCATTGAAAATTTCGTCTTTCCCTTTCCACATTGGGAGACCAGTCCATATAAGTGTATCTCAAGTGATATGTTTATGATACTTCTACAGAACTAACAAATGCCAACCATGATTTTTTCTATCATCTTGTATGTTTACAATTTTATTCTTATTTTTGCTTGTCTTGTAGATCAGTGGAAACTGTTGATTGTAACATGAGCTAAAAAAATTAGTATATATTCCAAGTATATTTGTGCTACTAGAGCAACTCAGTTGTATGTATTTTAAAATAGTTGGAAATGGACATTTTAACTCTGATCAAATACTTTTAAATGTTGGTGTCATTGTCACTATTTGGGAGATATAATGTGCTTCATTTTCAAAATTAACCTCTTTTCTCATAAATTGATATTTAAAAATGATTAAATGCGCTTCATTTTAAAAATCTTGGTTTTTAGACTTCTTGATTCATAAATTTAAAATGACCATATTCTGTGGTACATATCTTTTGATACTTGGCTTAATGTGTTCCCTCAAAGACAACTTGATTCACATGGAAGGAGGGCATTGTTGAGAACTTGATTTTTGTTACAACTACTAGTTTAGAGCTGTATAAGATGTTTATTTTTCCGTGTCTTGCCAGTTGCAGTGAATTCACATACTTTGTGCTTTCAGTCCTCTATAGGTTAGTTGTTAGTGTAATTGATACTGAGAAAATACAAATCTATTTTAACTGGTCTCTTGGTACTTCGTTGATTTATCACCGCTCACTAGATTGTCATGGTTTTACTTTCATACTGTAACTAATGGTGGAAGTTTATGTAATGAGCAAGATGTTGGCACTGCTTTTATTTGAATTCTGTGATACCTTCATTATGCCACTTCTTTTTCAGGATAGCATATACTATACATAATGCTTAGCAGATAAATTTGGTTAGGTGTTCACCTGACACTTGGGGATACAGTTTTTTAGTGTTAAAAATGAATACTGGGTCAGTTGGCTGAACTCCCATGTGTCATGCATTGATTATATTGAGAAGGAACACACAAGCAAATGGCTTGAAGAAATACCTCAGTTCACATTTGTGTGGAAATGGTCCTTCCTTCCCATGTGCAGCCCCAATTGGTGGGTAAATGACTGACACTTGGTTCCTATCAGGGGGGCAGTGCCAATTCATGTTTTTATGCTCATTGCCATTTGTTTTCGTTTTCACCAATGTTGCTTGTTTTTGCTTTTCCTTGGAGAAAGAGGTAATTTGGTAATAGTTGCAAGTAACAACTCATTCTAGACAAGCTCTACCACTGAGCTAATAAATGTGTTTTAAATATAAGTTCTATTTCTGTACTTGTTTAGATTGCATATTTTATGTATTTGTAACCTCATCTTGGGACTGTTTCTCTTCCTTGTGGGGATCAGTATTATGTTTGATTTACCCTTGTATTCCTAGAGGTAGGACTGTGCTTAGCTCATAGATACCTGACAATATATTGAATGAACACCTGAAAATGACCTGAGCTAAATATGGTTCTTAGAGAAAAATATGGTGAGATAAACTTTGCATAGATATACGCTTAGCTGTTGTGTGGAAATTGTAAAGGACCTGTTGAAAATGAAGCCTGGAAGGCTAGCAGTGTAGCTCAGAACTAGATCTCGTGCATGTCATATGCAGGGTGTAGGTCCTCAGCACTGAATGCTTTAAAACAGTTCTGTATAGTATAGAGTTAATGTGAGATTGATAATTAAAATCAAAACTAATTGTTTTTTAATATTCACTATGTGCATGTTTTCCAGAAAGTTCAGTGTGTATTGGTTGGTTGACTGATAACTTATTTTTGAACATTTGTCTTAGAAGATGTATACTTGGTATTTATAATTATAGGTGATGCTTTTTTTTACTTACATTTGAAACAAACTCGTTTTACATGTCAATCCCAATTCCCTCATCCTCCCCTCCTCCTTTGCATCACCCACCCCTATCCTATCCCTGTTCTGCTCCCCAGGGAGGGTGAGGCCTTCCATTAGATCTTGAAAATCTGAGATGATGTATTTTGGATGTATGGGAGATTGTCATTTTCTTTTTTTTTCTGTGGGAGGGTGAGTTTCCAGTGGACATGAGGTGATACAACTGCTGCAATAGCAGCAATCTGTTGTTCTTAGAGATTCATGCTGCCATGTCATTATAAAATGGTAACACTTATTTTCTGTCACTTTACACATTATAGAACATCTCCCTAGGGGATCACATGCTTCTTTCAGCCAGTGGCTTAGGTTAAAAGTGCCAAATTTCACTTCCTCACTGAACCTTTGAACTTGTGCAGAGTAAAGAGTTTATGTGTGTTTATCTGACACATTTCATGCTGACACTCAACTCAAAGTCTTGGACTGTCCTTAAATTTGCTGTGTCCTTAGTAGAAGAATCAGGAAAAGGAATGTGAAGCATAACACATTTAGCATCAACTTACCTATGTGAAATGAACTATTTTTGTGATGATCTGTGGGTTGAACATCTTTGCACTCATACTCAAGAGTAATCTGAGCTTTTGAAAAAAAAAAAAAAAAAACAGTTCAGAAGAATCACTGTTTCTGTCCTGTGTGCATCATAAAATAAAACTCACAAATTTAAATTCTATGTACTTGGGCAAAGTGATAGTAGGGACATGTTAGTGTGTAATAAACAGCAAATTTGGCAACTAGGACTTGTATTATTTCTGGCAATTCTTTCAGGTGGTTGGCCTTGGTTAGTCAAATCCTTTAAATGGACTTTAGTTGGCCAGTCCCTCATGAACATTGTAGTTTGGTGCAGTAGTTGAAAATATAATTTATATTCTGAAGAAAGTTGTTATGTAGAATGATTCCAAATCTCTCTGAGATTTACAAGTATAAAATCCTCTTGACTGCACTGTCAAATGTGAGAGCGATTAGACTGATGAACAGAGGTTGATAATCTCAGTTATGTTAAAATGGAAAGTTGTAGTTTGAGCATAATTGCATGCTGTGCCCACTCTGTCTAGATTGTATTCGTTGATTGACAGTTTATTCAAATGGAATATTTGCACTGAAGGGTAAGAGTTTGAGTCTAAAATGAAGTTAATGAAATGACCCACTAAAAAACTGTCTTTTTAATTTGCTAAAGAAAACATTAGACAGTAAAACCCACACGCACAAGACTGGTCTCGGACTCATACATGTACACCTGCCTCTGCCTCCATAGTGCTGTAAACAAATGTACATGCCACCATGCCCAGCTACAAATCAAATTTTAATAAAAATAAAAGTACTTTGATAGGTAAAACATTTTAAACATTCTATTGCTTCAGTTTTGTTTCAGTTTGTCATGTTTGGTCTGAAAAAATAATTGTAAGGACTTAAGACGTTTTCATTAAAGTGTTTTAATGAAAACAGCTCTTGATTTCCCATAGGGAGCTAAAGGGCAAGGCTGTGTTAGCAGTTGCCTCCCACCCCAACCCCCAAATCAGAGCAAGAGCACTATCTGGAGACTTGTACCTCAACCCTGGTTTTCCTTGTGTTCTCTACTGCTCATTAACTGGATGACTGTGATCAGGCTCCTTTAGAGTCATCATTTTTAAAGTCACATTTCTTATTGTCTACCTTATTGGTTAGAAGAGTAAAAATCAAGTTTATGGGTTGCGGTGTAGTTCATTTGCTGAGTATGTACTTACCATGCACAAAACTGGCTTGGCTTCCCAGCAGCACATATGCTGGGCATCGTGACAGGTGTCTGTAACCCCCACTTACAAGGTTCTGCAATTAGGATCATGAGTTTATAGTTACCCTTGGCTATACAACAAGTACCAGAATAGCCTGAGATACACGGAACCCTGTCTCAAAATAAGTGGAAAATGCGTGTGAAGAACCTGTAACTCATGACTCACTCCACAAAATTGTTCTGCTGGATATCATGTGGCTAGAATTAAAAGAGTAAAACACAATGATATTGCTTAATACATTTGAAATGCAGTGGTTCTGCCTTTTGAGTTAATGAATGGTATGCCTTTTAAAATTTTGTGAGATTCTAACTGCTATATTAACTCTTAACAAAATCCTTTAGTCTGAGAAATGAATTAGTATTCAGAACTTGTACAGATACTATATAAATACATATTGATATGTAGTCTGTAACCATTTAGGAAAGAACTGATGTGTGACGATGTTTTGAAATATTCTATTTTAAAATGTATTTTAAAGTAGCTTTTTATAGCTGTGGAATGCTTTTCTTGTTTTTTTGTTGTTGTTTAGTCCTTTAATATGATTACATTATTTTTAATAGTGTTTCTCTTTCATTTTGATAGAATAACATGGTAAGTATATTACTGATCAACTGATTGTTTTTAATATTTTGAGTGAGAACTTAAGATTATCTTCATCTTTTTATTCATCTTTAGACATTATTTGACTGTAGAAGATATAGTTTTTTCAGTAATGCCTGACTGGACATATTCTTTCCATAATTGGAGTAAGGCAAAGTTGGAGACTTAATGAAAATAGAAGGGTATTAACAGAATGCTTCTAAAATGGATGAGTTCTTTAAATGAACTGTTGGGTAAATACTTTGGATAGCCAGTTGAACAGTGTGCAAGTTAAAGCATGCAGCTTTAAGAACTCTTTAAATTTGTTTAAAAATTCTAATTTTGTATTACTTGCCAGACATTCCACTTAAACAGACCTCATCCATAGCAGTGGCTGGAGCTGTGATTGGAGCTGTCCTGGCCCTCTTCATCATTGCTGTCTTCGTGACTGTGTTGCTAACACCACGGAAGAAGAGACCATCCTATCTTGACAAAGTGTAGGTGACAGTTTTGCTGTGTTCAGCTGTGAACATCCATTATCCATTAGCCTATTTGTCCATCGTTATGTTACTTATATTCAGTGTTCAACAGATGGAAATAAGGATAGTGTCGGACCAGTGTTAGTTGACTGTGATTTCATCAGAATACCTTAAACTGTATCCTAATAAATGAGACACTTCATAGGGCTGCTGGAAGCAAATGTGTTAGACAGCTCCTCATTTGCAGGCATTAAGACATCTTTCCAAATGCATCATTTTGATAGCTTGTGTTGTCCAACCTGAACATATTTCAGTATTAGAAACATCTTAGGCTTGATTATGTCTGTCTTATATAGAGCTATAACTAAACTACCAAGAATTACTTTTAAAGACTCTCATTTTAAGAGTCTTTTTCCTTAAGAAAAAAAAATGCTTTATTTCATTTAATTATAAAGTAAGCATGTTTCATTTAAACAATAAATATTTTGCCTAATCATCAAGATTGAATTGCAAGATAAATATTGTATCGTGTTATAGAATGGAATGACTAATATCAATTCATTTTTGTCTTGTAATTATCTCTAAATATATGACACTTCCCATATTTCACATGCTTGTGCTAGAAACAGAATAAGATGATTTTATTTACTGAGTAGTGGAGCTTCCTGTGCAGTCTGTTGTTGCATGAAGGCACGAGGCTGGTACTCCAGTGATGCATCCCTTTGTTTCTTTAAAATGCTTTGGGGTACGACTCCACTTCTTGAGTCTGACACAATCCTGCCCTGTTTTCTGGATTGTAGACCCTGTCACAATGGAGTGACAGCTGTCACATGAGCAGGTCACTGCTATCATAAGCTTGGGTTTTTTTTAAATGGTGCTATAAATTTGCTGCAATTTTCATTAGAGAAAAGTTATGAATTAAAGATGGTGAAATGCTGCTTTAACTTGATAATTGTGAGATTGGAGTTGTTTTATGTATTTATTGAATTATCTTCAGTAGAAAATACTACTTTATGCCCATATTGAAAAATGAGTAAGCAGATCATAGCACATTCACTATTTTAGCATCTGAAGAATTTATTTATCTTTTAATATAGACAACTTATGTCATTTGGTAATCAAAAATACTGGAAATACGTCTTTAGTTTTCAAATAATTGAAATATACATACATACATACATACATACATACATACATACATACATGAGAGAGAGTGTGTTTTCTATAAAACACGAAACCATAGACCCATAAATGTGTTTGTAAATATCTAAATATGTATGAATATTAGGGAACGTTACAGATGACATCATCAAAATTTTATTCTCTAAGGAAAACCTGGGTCCTTTGTCTGTTTCAGATGGCATTATTTATAATGAATTGTAGCTGAAAAATATCTTACGGGATAAATGTTCTAAAAATAACCACTTTTGAAAGATGTATCTATTATTTTTGTTTTGTGTCTATGTTTTGTTTGCATGTATGTCCCTGTACCATGTGCATCTCTGATGTCCATGGAGGCCAGACAAGGTATCAGATTCCCCTGGAACTAGAGTTTCAGATGATTGTGAACTTCATGTGGGTGCTGGAAACTTAACGTGGGTCCTCTGGGAGAACAAGCACTCTTAACTGCTGAGCAATCTCTGCAGCCCCAAGGCAGCCCTTTTGAAAATCTGTGTTGGAAACAGTTCCAAAATCTAATGTGAACTTTTGTCAGTCTTCTGAGTTATTTATGTGACCATTTGGAGAAACATAATACACACATTGGAGGATGGAGAGATGTCTTAGCGAGGTAAGAGTGCTATCCTCTTTTGTAGAGGCTCTGAGTTTGCTTCCAAGCAAACTTCTGGAGGCTCACAACTAACTGTAACTCTGGCTGCATGGATCTGATCCCTCTTCTGGCCTATGGGCATCCACATACATGTGTCAGACATGCAGACATATGCACATAGAGATAAATAAAAATCTTTAAAAATCCTTCCTTTAAAATATTTGTCAGCATAACCAAAGGTGGAAATATGCCAAAACGTAAGGTGGATTATGCACAAGATACTTGTTTAATAATAATTTCCAGTGTTTCAACTTGAATTGCTTCTTTATTGTGAGAAGATAGTTTGGTGTTTAGAAGTAGTGTTGTCTTTTTATTTCCTGACGGGTTAACAGAATATAACTTAATTAAACATGTAAGTAGAATAATTACGTATTATTATAGTATGAAGAAAATATCCTTCAGAGTTGTGAGAACCTTGTTTTCTTTGTTTTTATTCTTGGAACCCCTGACACTTCTGTTTAATGTTTGGAACACAGAATTGACCTTCCTCCTACACATAAGCCACCTCCCGTATATGAAGAACGAGTTCCTTCTTTGCCTCAGAAAAGCCTTCTGTGTCAGGTATGTGTTCATGAAGATGCTTAGCATCACCTGAACTGTCTTCTAAAACTCCGCTCAGCTGTTGTGGTGCAATCTACAGCCTGTGCACCCAAGAGGCTGGAGCAGGAGGACCAGAAGTTTAAAATCATCCTTGGCTACACAGTGAGTTTGAGGCCAGGTTGGCCTACAGTAGACCCCATTTCAAAAATTGAAGTGAATAAAAAAGTTTTTGAATATTGAATTTGTATTAATTTTTCAAAATATTGTCATCTATTTTGAAATGGCATATAATTCTTAACATGTTCAAGTATTCCTCTGAAATGTATGTATGATCAGACTTTGTTTAGGAGTTAGTAAGAGAAGTGATAGCTAATGTGAGCAAAGAAAGTCAGTACTGTACTGGCCACTCACTAGGATCTTCCGTTAGAGACTGGTTGTGAGTTCAGTTGTCCTGACCTGCAGATATTGTAAAAAACAAAAAAAAACAAAAAGACATAGGCATTTTGCTGTGAATAAAAAGTGGAGGCCTTGAGTATATTTGGTAGACTGTTGTGCTCTTCTTTGAGCACATTTCACTCTTGCTTTTCTGTATGAAAGAGGTATAAATTTCAGCATCTCTTTATTGAGAAATAGGTGGTATATATTCCAATTTCAAATACAATGAATATTGGTACAAGTTCTACATAGTCATCTTTTATCTACCCCTGGGTTAATATTTTTTCTTGATATTTGAGAAAGATCTGATCAAACACTTGAATTCTTTTATTCTCAACTAGAGTGTTTTTGTTCTCTGTTTACTGTTTGTTTTGCTGCTGTTTTCTCTTTTGTTCATATAGTGTACTTATTAGGTTCATACTCTGTATCTGGGATTTGCCTCAAGTAGTTTATTTTCCTTAGAAGATACGCCCTGTATCTTCACCCTGCATTCAGTCGGAATACCTATAGAGCACTTAATTTGGCGGGGAAACTGAAGATGTCCTCAGCTTCCATTCCTTCACTCACCATATAGTCAGTGTGCTGTCAGCATGGGTGGCATGGCAGGAGCAGCCTGCCATGCACTGCCCCTAGCAGTGACTGCAGCTCTGTGACACGGGATATGTCATCTTTTCAGAGCTCTGTTTCACACAGAGTACAGCCTTTGGCAAAGAAATAAAAGTAGGAAATAATGTGAAATGCCTGTGGAGACCTTGACCAGAAATGATAAATGCTAGAGTGGGTTCTTACCTTAATCCGTGGGTGTTCAGACTTTGTTCTGAGAATTTTGTTTAGGATATTTTTATTAGTTTCTTTAGAACATGCTTAATTGAATATAATTGAAGAGTTATCAGGAAAATCAGTTTGTATGTAATGTATTCTTTGTATTTTCAAGATGACTATTTATAGAGGCTGTTGTATTTTCAAGATGACTGTTTATACAACCAAAAGTTATTTGGTTCAAATCATACGTGTTGGATTGTAGCTAAGAAAATATAACTACATATACACTATAAGACACTGCAAGAAAACAAAAGGAAGGTATTATATCTTGCATGACATAAGCTGCCAGTAAAGCAGAGTGCTTCCAGGATGGCTCAACTCGGGAGGTATGAGAGAAATTACTCAGATGATAATTAGAGTAATTTGATTTTAGTTAAGTTTATTAACAGGGATAATACTGAGCAGAAATGAAGAATGACATTGAAAAGTAGACAAAACCTTTTGTCAAAGGAAATTTGATGAGAAAATAACTTGTAAACAGATAAGTAGTGTTGGCCCTTAAGAAGTAAATAGCCATTTAGCATTTTGATTTTTTTCCTCATTCAAATCAAGCATTGAGAAGCATTAGTCACCAATGTTTTCTTCTAAATATAAAGCCAAAGCTATAAAATATAGGAGAATCAGAACTTGAGTTGGACATGAAATCGGTCATATTCTTCAAACTTTTAAAAATTATTTAGAAATAGTTAAAACTTTAGTAAGGTAATTTATTATGACTCCTCCATTATACTATCACACACTAATTGTATTGATAATTTGTTTTGAGTTTATCTTATATCAGAATGCAAAGCATTCTTGGTTACTAAGGAATCTATAAGTTTATTATAGCCATGCTCTGATTCAAAAGATAACTTAACAACTTAAAATTGATTAATTCCTACTTGAAATCATTGCTTAGCTCTAACAACCAGGCCTGGTTACACAGGTCTCATGTTCCCAGAAGGCTAATCTGGCTTTAAGGAAGAACCTGATGTCAACATTAAATACTACTCCTCTCCTCAAAGGAGGATAAGAGACAGTTTATTCTCAAGTCGGATATGAATGCCCACAGCTCAGGAACAGGGTGGCCTCAAATCACATGCTCCAGAGTAGACACAAGGTTTAGAACAAAAGAAAGTCTTAAATTGAGGTACATTTTCTTCAAATATATTGGTGGAAACATAAAGTAGGTACGCTATAGCAGAATGCAGACATCCCTAATGTAGGTGCCACTTGCTTAGTGGAGTTATTCATACATTTTAGTTGGTGGCTAGCTAATGGTCTGTCACATGATTGTATTGTAAGAACTTTGACCAGATGAACACAAGAAGTGGCAGCTAATGTCTGTGAAGGAACTAAAGATAGCTAATGGTAAGTTGGCTTTAGATCTGCAGCATTCTAACAGTCAAACTGTAATCAGCATTGTTGAGTCTTTATAATGAGATGACTTTCTGAAAGTTTTAGTTTGGGCTGACCTTTTCATGGTTTTCCTTGAACACTATGGAAAGAAGTTATTCCTTCCCATGTAAGCTAGCTCAGTGTTGAGCAGTTACCTGCATTACTCCCTGAGAACTTTCCCTCTAGATACATATTGTTCAGGAGAATGAAGTCTGGTATTATGGAGAGGCATTTTTCTTGAGTGAGACTTTTTTCCTACAGGGAAGATGTCTAAAGTGGCAGTAACATATTTTTAGGAAACCAGAAGTGATGTTTTGTCTGAAGGCAAAGAGCCCTCATGTCTACCAGTGTGCCCTCTTCATAGATGAACATCTGACAGAAGTGATCTCTATTTAGAAACCGTACAAGCTTTCAGCACTAAACTGTGTCTTACAATTTATGATGGTTTATTTTCCTTGTATGTTTCATATACAAGTATACTCATCATATAAAATATAAAATACAACCTTAAAGAAATTTAAAAAATCAACTATGCAGATTTTCATTCTAGCATCCTCAAAGATCCCAGTAGACTGCACTGCTGTTAAAGAGTTAAACATCTTACCACATTTCTGACCATATTCATATTTTAATTTGTGAATCATTATTTTAAAACATAGGTGGAGCTATAGCATACATCTATTTTGAAATTTTTCTTTCTCTTTTTTTACTATGTCTTCCATGATAATCTATTTTTCGGAGTGACCAATGCAGTTACCTTTATCAAGATCCTCTTGATAATTGAAACACAGTTTCAGTTGCCTTGGATTGAAATCTTTGGGTTGTAAACAGTTGGCATGCCCCTGCATTCAAGTCTAAGTTATGTTTTTGTATCTCTGTCCCATTATGGTTGGCATTTAGAGTACTCCATTACATTGACACATAAAACTCATCCAAAGAGATCCTTATTTTTGTTGTATAATTGTAGTGAAAATATTTTATGCATTTTTGTACTTGTATGTTTATAATATTTATGCCAAAAGGTAGAATCACTGTTTTTTTGTTTGTTTGTTTTTACAGAGGAGTCATATTACCAGCTACAGTATCAATGTATATTCTTACAGATAGTATATAAAACCTGTTTCCCTCTCCATCCTGTAATAGGAGGTGTTCTGTGGATGAACTAAACATTCTGTGGACTCTTGGGTGAAGTGGGTCCTAGTTACTGGTTACTGAACCACCTACTTCATCTTCCCCAGTTTTTTGAGCTTTGGTTGTTTCTGATTTAGACATTCTGATGTAAATATAGTCCTTTTTCTTACATAATTTTCTATTTTTTACTTGCATGGTGTTGTGTGGGCTACTAAAAATTTTATGCAATCAGATCTATCTCTTGTATTTATTGAGAGGTTGTTTTTTGGTCTGAAAAGGTTTCCTTTCACTCTCTCCTGGCCAGAATATTTTTTTTAATCTTATAAATCTTTAATGGTTTATGTTTTATTTTAAAACAGATTTTTGTGTTGTGTATGATTTTAAGTTGGGGCAAGATCACCAGTTGTCCAAATATTTCTGAGATCTTGTCTAATTACATTATATTTTAGTCTTCTCTTTCTAAACAATATGTTGGTGATGTGATCTGGGACAAATTCCTTTATCAGTTGTTCCTTGCCAAGATTTTCCTGTTTGTTTGTTTGTTTGTTTGACTTTATGAGTAACTTCCCAGACTTTATAAAGCTATATATTGAATTTAGGGATTACTATAATGTGAACTGGCAACAGTGGTAATACCAATTCAAGAAATGTCATAGGCTTTCACTTTGGTGTTTCTTTATGTACTGGAATAAAATTTCTTCCCCAGAGCACATACTTTGTTTTCTCTTTAGGTTTATTGTAAACAGATTAAGCGTTTTGATTGCCAGTGGTGCTCCTTGCCCCTGCCTCTACCTCTATGGCTTCTTCTTGTTTATGGAGTTCTTATTTGGTCAAAATAATAAAAACCCAGAGTCAGATATAGTGGGAAAATGCTGAGAGGTCAGAGAGAAGAAGGAACAATCCAAAGCCACCTTCACATCATTAAGTACCCAGCAGAGAAAAGAGAGCAAGTTTCTCTTGCTTCCCTCTTATATCCTCTTTCCACCCAGCCATCTCACTTCCTGTCTGTCTGTACAGACCTCCTAACCTCTATGGTTGGCTAATGGCAAGCTCCATCATATGTGTATTCAAGCAAGATATTGCCACATCATCTAGGGGGTTGACTAACAAGTACAAACATTCATGCTAAAACCACCTAGGGTTTTTGATATTGTTCTATTGAGGCAGGTTGTCTTAGTCAACCTCAGAACTTTCTCATTTGACTGGCTTCACTAGTCTCCTTGCTCCAGAATCCAGTGTTTGTCTTTCAAGATTCA